ACCACCACCAAGCGACTGAAGCGCTGACCAAAGGGGAGAGCCTGGCTGAAGAGCAACCAGCCAGCCTGTGGTGAGAAGCATCTAAGTTTGTAAGGGCACTGAAAGTGTTAAAATCAGCTTAAAATGCGTTTTGCTTTTATTTCATTTGACCAAATCTGACTTCTTGTGCTTTGACTTATAATGACTTAAAATCTATCTTTTTTTAGTTATTAAATTTGTTTATTCTACCTGAAGCAGTGTGTTTGATTTGAAGCGTGTCAGAGACTCTCCTTGGGATAACAAGGCTGGTACATATCAATTTCTTTGTTAAATTGACAAACTCATATAAGCTTGCAGCGTCCAGCGGGCATAATGACACTGCAAGACGGAGATTCCTAGGGTTATGTCTGGGACCGGAGATATTGGCTAGTGTCATTTGGTTGCACAATCCAAGCAGTGGCTGGCCAAAAGTGCTCACTCACATAGCTGGGAGCAGCTTACATGCTAGAGGCTGTGTGTGAACAGCCCCAGAGTGGGGCTTCTCACAGCAGAGCAGGGTAAGACTGGCTCCCAGAGTCGAGGATTGGAGTGACCTAACAGATCACCAGCCCAGATAACACCAGGGGAATGTCACACCACTCACACAAGCACATTCCAGAAGTGTGGTACCAAAACACCCCGATCCCAAGTATGGTACAAACACATTCCCCAAAGATAACAGGAACATGCCTACCCCTCTTAAAGATAAGGTCAGGATGACAGGGTGATGGATAGAAATGTTTTCATTGAACCAACATATACAAGGTGATGGGTGGTAACTAACCACATCAGAGAGGCAACACGTAACTTGTTTGCATCAAGGTATAAAGAGGTCTCAGAGGGAGTGTCTTTGTCTGGCCTAGGGGGGGAATGGAAAATCCCACCATTCACTGGGCTGGTCCCTTGTAACGGGCATACATGGCTCAGTAGTTCTGTAGAGTCAACGGGATACTAGGACCGTGCTTCATTGACAATAAACCTGACCAAGCGCCTTCGCTACTGAAACGGATCTGTGGTTTTACTGGGCCGTTTGGTCGAGGTGTGCCGCGTCTGCACAGAGCTGGGGCAGCACACTGAAAGACCACACATACATGCCGCCAATGACTAACTACAGCCCGGGCATAGAGGTTTCCCACGACCCAGTCATTTCATGACACAATTTCACAAAGTCACCCCCAGTTCAGAAGTGATGCAGCCAGAGCCCCCAATTCGTCACCAGCCATGCCCCTGAGGGGTGGCTTACGCCTCTTCCCTTTTCTGGCACCCATGCGACTCCTTGCTGGGCAAGCTGTGGTGGTGCCTGACTATTTTGATAGGTGAGACACAAATCACAAAATACCAATTCCCTCCTCCCCCCCCCAATGTATAGTGTAATAGCTACTTAGAAGGAAGAAGCAGCAGCAGACCTGGAAGCAGGAGCTGCCACTGCTACCCAAGTTGGCATGGGTGGCGGAGCATGAGATGGCCCTGGGGTGTTGGCATCGACTCCTTGTGCCCATGCATGGGGCCCATTGAGGAGGTGCAAGCCCCATCCCTGCCCGCTGCAAACTCCATGCAGCCCAGGCTTAACTGCTGCAATCCTGCCGTGGGCTCACCAAGCTGTGGTCACCACAGCAATGCCCTGATAAAATGCCTCCTGGGCATGGTGAACTGCCATGATAACAAGGCAACTACGTGAGGCACTTTCCGCTATACCGAGATTTGAGCCTCACGCAGCCCCACATGCTTTGAATTCTGGGGGTTGGTGTTTGGCTACTGCAGAGAGTGAGTTGTGACATTTAAATCCACCCCCAATTTGCCCTTAAATCTGTCAATATCAAGTCAATAAAAACAAACAAACATGCAAAATGGATGTTGTGGCTTTTGGGAACTCTTGGGTGGACTGCACCTCCCGTGCTTGGGCTGACAAGCCGCCCTTGCCAGACATCCAGGGGTGCTGCCCTTGAGAAGATCGGCTGGGACCATTAAGGAAAATAAAACTAATCCTTGCAAAGGAACGAAACACCAAAAAGTGTAACAGAGAGGGGGACTTTACTGGGAAGAGAAAAACAGAATGAGCTGCATTATACTACACAACCAGCTTAGCCAGGGGGCAGCTTGTCCGCTGATTATCCCTATTCCTGTATATGGAAACGTGGCTTTTAGCAAGTCCCTTGTCTTTGTAATTAGCCGCAGTGATCCAGATCCCATAGAGATTACCCTGAAGTTCACCCAAGTGAATTGCTCCTGTCACTTTATCAGGTACTTTTGCTTGTGTGGTAACATCTCTGGAGTGAAGATAACGAGAACCGCTTGTGCCTCGATGGCGTTTTTCTCACCCAGAGCTCAAAGGTGAGCAGGCCAGCTTGCCTGTCAGTCATTCTGGGGCTCTAACCACTAGCTCACTGTGCCTCACGTATTCACCATTGTGCGATTACAGTGCATCCAAGGGGTTCAAAGTGGTGTCCACAGAGTAGGGTGACCAGATGTCCCAATTGTATAGGGACAGTCCCAATTTTGGGGTCTTTTTCTTATATAGGCTCCTATTACCCCCACCCCACGTCCCGACTTTTCACACTTGCTGTCTGGTCACCCTACCACAGAGTAGCTTGGAGAGATGCAACATGGCCTAGTGCACAGGGGGCTGGCCTAGCCTGGCCTGGCCTGGGCTGCAGAAGTCCTGGGTTCACATCCTGGCTCTGGCAGGTGACAGTGTGTGAGTCACGCTATGCTAAACACCTCCTCATAGCAAACCTCTCTGATCTGTACTGGGGCATCCCAGGTCAATGCAAACACAGGCTAGGTAGAGTCCTCAGGGGAGTGGGTTATTTATTGAAAGATTAGAGGAAGAGGCCTGAGCAAGAAGTTCTATGACTCCTTTATCTCACATGAGATACAGAGCAAAGGAAAAGTGCCCAGGAGGTTGGACTCTATAATCATTGGCCAAGGGTTGATCAGACATCTGACCTTTGAAATGAAGAGCTGGATTGTCTTCTTCCATAGCACTAGGCTGCCCTCCGGGCAAACACACTGAGCTCTTTGTCTGTTACTAACTCCGAAGGTAATGAGTGCTGATTAAAACTAAGCCTTGTTAACCACAGCACCTGAGTTGCTCAAAAGCGTTCAGACCTGGGGGTTTTGTTATTAACTCCACAGGTGTAGCTGCTCTGCTAAGCAGTTGCTTGAAGCTACTGAGAAGAATTTGTTTTGGTTTGGCCTTTCTGTAAGGTATGTTCCCCTGATGTTTTAATGTGTTTTTCTGATGTGATCAAGGCTAGCTGGTGTCTTACGTCTAGAGTTTAGGTGTAAATGTAATTAGCTTTGACAATGCTTTATAAGGCTGTTGTAGGGAGGGGGCCCTTAATCTGTAGTTTATAGGCTAGTACCTGAAGATGGAGGAAATCACTTAATGCAGAAAAATGGGAGGCTGACAAATATTTTTATTTTTTTTAAAAAGAAGGGAGGGCAATCTAAGTGTTGCTCTCAGGTCTGTATCTTCTGCCTTCAAAGGGCTGTAGAAACTAGCTCAGGGGATGCAGAAGCCAATAACCTAAAATGAAAAGAAATAATTTTTACTCTTTCCCTTTAAAATTTCCCCCGTGAACTGGCTTCTGTGAGTTTCACATGCTCTTCTGGCTTGTGATCCTCACAGCATAACATTGTGCTAGTGTGTAACTGACTAGTCTGGTTTCCCTGTCCCAGCTGAGTGGAAGGTAACAGTAACCAGACAGTGCCAGGTGTAAGGTAGTGACTTAGTTTCCCTCCCCACCCCAGTTAAAGGGCTACTAGAATAACTTATTGATACATTAGAGCTGGCTAAGAGAAAAGCCCTAGGAGTGACTCAAGGACAGGAAAACCTGCCTCACACAGAGAGACTCCAGGAGCTAGATCTGTTTAGTTTAATTAAGTGAATGCTACGGTGTGACTTGATCGGTTCCCAAGTACTTACATAAGGAACAGAAATTTAATAATAGAGGGCTCTTCAGTGTAGCAGAGGAAGATCTAACACAATCCAATGGCTGGGGGAGTTGAAGAAGATAAATTCAGACTGGAAATAAAGTGTCAATTTACAACAGGGAGGGTAACTAACCTTGCAACAACTTACCAAAGGTCATGGTGGAGTCTCCATCACTGGCAACTTCTAAACCCAGACCGGCTGTTTTTCTGAATGATTTGTTCTTGTTCGAGCAGGAATTAATTCAGGGCAGGTCTCTGGTCTGTGCTATACAGCAGGTCAGACTAGGGGGATCACAACGACTGGATGATTTATAAATTCTACTTCTCCCCCTGTGTCCGCTTGAGGGATTCCAGTCTCGTGCTACGGTTGCCTGCATTCAGAGAGCACTGAGATGAGTTCAGGAGTGTCCCCATCTGTGAAAGGGGTAATGTCACAGGAAGAAGTGATAGGGCCTGGTGTTGGTGCCTGATTGATTTCTCTCCCAACCCAAAGGCCGGGGGGGTGTTGGAGTTGAAGACGCTGGGTTATAGGCAGGACTGTGGATTTGTATATGGTAACAGTCTGCAGTAGGTGGAGTCTGTGCAAAGGGGGGAGGGATAGCTCAGTGGTTTGAGTCTTGGCCTGCTAAACCCAGCATTGTGAGTTTAATCCTTGAGGGGGCCACTTAGGGATCTGGGGCAAAAATCTGTCTGGGGATTGGTCCTGCTTTGAGCAGGGGGTTGGACTAGATGACCTCCTGAGGTCCCTTCCAACCCTGCTATTCTATGAAAGACCTGCCTGTGGGAGAGCTGACGGTCAGTGTCAATGCTTAACCTTTTCCCCATTGCACAGCTTTGGGGGAGCCTCGCCCCTACCTCACAGAGGGCTGTACAGCTGGCCATGCTAATGTTCAGAAAGAGATTTGACTGGATCTGAGACTGGTTAACAGCAGCTGGCCAGGAATCCACTGGCTCAAACCCAGTAGTGCTCAGCCACGTGAATCTCTGGGCAAGGGTCGGATTATGCAACCAGAAGCAAGTGCCTGGTGCTGTAATGCAGAGGGAAGGGAAGGGATGCACCCATGGGTGGGTGTTGGGTGGAGAGGAGCTCACAGCAAGGGTGGAAACCAGCAACTCTTGAGGCGAGACTGTGGGCGCTCAGCTCAGAGCATCGAGTGAGACTTTCAAGACAAAGGAGAAGTCAAAAAGGTGGGGGCATCACTTGTGTCTCACTGAGATGCCTAGGATATAAAAGCCGCCAGAAGGTGGCTTCGTGGTCACTCTCTCTTGGGTTTTCATAGCGCACCAGGCTGTAGCACGGAGTGGGGAACCTTTTTTCTATCAGGGGCCACTGACCCACAGAAAAAAATCAATCACAGGCCACACACAGCCCCGCAGGGGGCACGGAGGCTCGGGGCTTCCCCTAGGCTCTGGGGTGGGGCCAGAAATGAGGGGTTCAGGGTGCGGGAGGGGACTCCAGGTTGTGGCAGGGGGTTGGGATGTGGGAGGGGGTAAGGGCTCTGACTGGGGGTTTGGGCTCTGGGTGGGGCTGGGGATGAGGGGTTTGGGGTGCAGGAGGGGGCTCAGGGCAGGGGCCAAGGGGTTTGGAGTGCGGGAGTGGGCTCAGGGCTGGGGCAGGGGGTTGGGGTGCATGAGGGGGTTTGAGGTGCGGGCACCGGAAAGGAGTTTGGGTGTGGGAGGGGGCTCAGGGCTGGGGCAGGAGGTTGGGGTGCAGGTGGGGGTGCGGGGTCTGGGAGGGAGATAGGGTGTGGGATTGGGTTGTGACCTGGGGAAGGCAGTGTGGGTCGTGGTGCGGGGTCTGGGAGGGAGTTAGGGTGTGGGAGGGGGTTCCGACCTGTGGCAGGGGGTTGGGGTGCTGGGTGTGGGGTCTGGGAGGGAGTTAGGGTGCGGGAGGGGGTTCTGACCTGTGGCAGGGAGTTCGGGGTGCAGGTTCCGGCCGGGGTGGCGCTTACCTCAGGCGGCTCCTGGTCGGTGGTGCAGCGGGACTAAGGCAGGCTCCCTGCCTGCCCTGGATCTGTGCTGCTCCCAGAAGTGGCCAGCACGTCTGGCCCCTAGGCAGAGGGGCCAGGGGGTTCTGCACAATGCCGCCGCCCCCACAGCTCCCGATGGCCGCGGTTTGCAGCCAATGGGAGCTGCGGAGCCAGCGCTGGGGGTGGGGGCAGCGCGCAGAGCTTCCCGGATCGCCCCAGCGCCATGGGGCTGCAGGGACATGCCGGTCGCTTCCGGGAGCTGCGCGGAGCTGACTGGACTTTTAACGGCATGGCAACCCCAGCTCCCCTCCCGCAGCAGAGCGAGTCGGCCACTCACAGCGTGGAGAGTTGCCGTAGCTTCCCCACCCCTGCTACAGCACCTTAACACTGATGCTTTTACGTGGGGAACTGTCGGCATAGCGTGCGCTCAATGAGGGGAGCAAAGTCACATCTGGGCATCTGCTCTAACGTGTCTTCTCTTCCACCCCCCTCGCTCTGGTTGCAGGGAGATGGCAGCGTGGTGGGCCGTGCTGGGGCTGTTGGCTGTCTGCATGGCCAGTGCTGCTAAGAAATCTGTGCTGAACATGTGCATGGACGCCAAGCACCACAAAACGGAGCCAGGCCCAGAGGAGGAGCTGCATGACCAGGTAAGGAAGTGCTGGCCTGGTGACACGTGAGGCTGATGCCACACCACTTGGGGCGCTGGGTGACGAATAACTGAGTCACCTGGGCCTGTCGTCCCTTCCAGTGCAGGCTTGTTCCTTTCCACTAGAGACGGGTGCCTTGACAGAGGGCGCCTGGAGGAGCCAAATGTGCTAGAGGGAAGGTATTTGCGATGCACCAAGACTGTTTTCATGGGGCCTGGCTCTGTGGCCCTTTCGCATAGGGCCAGCCTCGGGAGGCGACTCCTGGATGGGCTGCAGGATCCGTCACTCACTGACACAGTCCTATCGGGCGTGCCTCCCCCCTGCTCCTCCAAGCCTTGCAGCGTTGGACCCGGCAAAACCAGGCCCCGCAAAGCAGGCAAGAGAGGGCCACTTTGTCCTTCTGAAACGAAGCCCCCCCCCCCCCCCCCCCCGCTGATCCCGCAGAGTGAGCAGCATGAGCGGATCCACCCGTCTCACTCCCCGTTGCCTAGGCGTGGCCCCTCCATTCGCAAGTCTTGTGAAGTGCTTTGAGAGCCTCAAAGAGAAGGGCAAAATGCTATCCCCACCACCAGGCCTTGGGCCTGGCCTCGGCAGGAGCAGTCCAGCCGTGCATCACTAGAGGCCAGTGATGCTGCTGCATCCACAGCATCCTGTCTGCCCCCCGGGCGAGCTGCCGGAGTCCCCTGCGTACCCATCTCTCACTGTGTTCACAGTGTGTCCTGTGGAAAGACAACGCCTGCTGCACGGCCAACACCAGCACGGGGGCTCACCAGGACCAGTCCTACCTGTACAACTTCAACTGGAACCACTGCGGGGTGATGCCAGAGAAGTGCAAGCAGCACTTCATCCAGGACACGTGTCTGTACGAGTGCTCGCCCAACCTGGGGCCCTGGATCGACCAGGTCAGGGGGTGTGACGGTGCTGCCCGTGGGAGCCAGCAGAGGTCACTCAATCAGGGTGAACTGCAAACAAAACGGGGCAAACAAACCCCAAAAGCTGGTGTTTATTCCAATACTTAGATTTATCAAGCCAGCACAAAACAGCTTCTATAGTACCTCACTGGTTACTCAGAAGTCCAAATAACGCAGTTCCCTTAAAGTACCCAGCCTCAGGCCTCCATCCAGACACACCTGTCACATATAACGATGATTACTGAAAATCTTATCTCATCACATAAAAGAAAAGGTTCTTCCAATCCCAAAGGATCAACCACATACCCAGGTTCAATTATAACTCAGATCTTACCCAAAATACACTCTATAAGTCAATTCTTATTAACTAAGCTAAAATTTATTAAAAAAGAAAAGAGAGCGAGTGTTGGTTAAAAGATCAATATACAGACAGACTTGAATTCAATTCTTGAGGTTCAGATACATAGCAGAGGTGAACTTGTAGTTGCCAAAAGTCCTTTTAGAAATAGTCCATGGGTTATAGTCCAATGTCCATATTCAGGGTGGCTCCAGTCAATGACTGGGGATCTCAATCCTTATGGCTTAAAGGTTTCCCCCTCTTGAAACCCGAAGCAGATCTGAAATGAAGTAGGATCATGTCCCAGGGTTTTTATACATTTCCAGCAGCCTTTTGGCCTGAGAAAACAATAGGCTTAACTCTCCTTCTTCCAAACATCCTGGCAATTAGCACAGGATAATTTATCCATTAAACAGTTCAGATACAGGTTACCACAACCTTCAAAGAGACATAGAGACAATAATACTATTTCACTCAAGCATCATCATAAATGTGAATATTCCTTTTTTGATTTTTGAATCAAAGTTATAGCAATAGACAAGACTTGTTTGCTGACATCACAAGACCTGAGCAAACATCTACCCTTCTATCTCTAACAATGCAGACTTGCATTTCAAAGCTCTATTCATTTACATATCTTCCTAACCAGTCCTTAAGGTTCACCCATGAGTCAGGTCAGCCGGTGAGTTAATTAACTCTTTCTGGCCCTGTCATCTTTCACTGAGATATTATATTATACTCACAACGTCACAGGGGGCGTTCGGGCTGGGCGCTGCGGGTGGGAGAGAAGGCTGGCTTGGTGCGTGTGCTCACGGCTCCCTCTAGTGGCAGGTCCCCTGTGAATAACAGCTGGCTGCAAAGAGTCACCGCTCCTTCAGCTCAAGCAGCAGAGGTGTGCACTTGCAGTGCTGAAAGTCCCAGGTTCAATTCCCCAACAATGAGTGACCCTGTATCCATATGGGGCGGGGGCCCATTGCATGCGGGTAGGACAATCTCCTCCAAAGGTTCCTGGGGGCAGGTGGCTCCAATGAAGAAAACCTCCCTTGTGTTTTATGTACCTCTCAAATCCCACCAGCACGGTTGCGACCCAGCACTCCAACAGGCTGCCTCTGTCCCGGTGGGACGGGGCTCGTACTGGATGCATACGGGGGAGGCAGTCTTAGAGATTGCATTGACTTGGCTTCTTCCAAACCCCTGGCTGGGAGCAGAGGAGCTCTCCTGGACACCGAGCTGGGGTGGTTTGCATGGGACACCCGTTGGGCTGTGGTTGCTGCTGCCCAGGTGTGTGGGGAGGCTACTGTGAGGCTCTCCCTTCCCCTGGGGACTGGGCCTGGTTCTGCTGGGACTCACACTGGCTCCGTTCTTGTGCAACGCCCTTCCTTGGAGCTAGATCCCGGGGTGGAGAAGAGCATGTAGGTAACCCCCGCTCCCTGGGGCGGCTTGGGGGTGACTGTGGCCCAGAGCTGCCCCCTGATGCTCACAGCCCCGTGTCCTGGCAGGCGGATACCAGCTGGCGCCGGGAGAGGATCCTTAACGTGCCGCTGTGCAAGGAGGACTGTGAGCTGTGGTGGGAGGACTGCAAGGACGCCACCACCTGCAAAGAGAACTGGCACAAGGGCTGGAACTGGACCTCAGGTCAGTGAGCCGCTGAGAGCAAACCCACCGCACTCCGTGCACCTCGGGTTGCCAGGCGTCCGGTTTTCGTCCGGTTGAAAAGGGCCCTGGCGGCTCCAGTCAGCACCGCCGACCGGGCCGTTAAAAGTCCTCACTACCTGCCCCTGTTCCAGGAGGCTCCAGGAAGCAGCTGCCAGGTCCCTGTGGCACCTAGGCAGGTGCCCACGCCCACACCCTGAGTGCTGGCTCCGCAGCTCCCATTGGCCGGGAACTGCGACCAATGGGAGCTGTGGGGGTGGCACCTGCAGGCGTGAGGGCAGCGCGCGGAGCCTCCCTGGCTGCCCATGAGCCTAGGGGCTGCTGGGACCTGGTGGCCACTTCCTAGGAGCTGCGGTAAGTGCCACCGGGACCCCGTATCCCTCCCACGCCCCAACCCCCTACCCCAGCCCTGAGCCCCCCCTGCACGCCTCATCCCCAGCCTCACCCCAGAGCCTGCACCCCCAGCCGGAGCCCTCACCCCCCTCCCATACCCCAAACCCTGCCCCAGCCCGGTGAAAGTGAGTGAGGGAGGGGGAGGGCGAGCGACGGAGGGACGGGGGATGGAGGGAACAGGGGGCGGGGACTTGGAGAAGGGGCGGGGCAGGGGGCAAGGCAGAGGTGTTCAGTCTTGCTGTGCGATTAGAAAGTTGGACACCCTAAGTGGAAGAGGGGCTCATATTTCTCCCTTCCCTTGACGACAGCAGCCCCGTGACTGGCTACAGACTGAGGGCTGGGATCCGGAGAGCAGTACTGGGGGCTGTCGTCTCATCGGGTCTCTGTGCTAGCCCCAGTGGGGCTCGGATGGTGGAGGGGAGCGGGTGGGAACCCGGCACCCGTTGCGTGGATAAAAAGCCGGCTAACTGGCAGGTCTCGCAATGGAACTGTCCATGGGGAATCATCGCTGAGCGGGCGTGTTCCCAGTGGGGTTCCCAGGGACTGGTTCTTGGCCCTATGCTACTAAACGTTTTTATTAAGGCCCCGAAGATATGAAATCGTCCCGGATAAAGTTTGCAGATGACTGAAAAATTGGGGGAGCGGTAAATACCGAAGAGGACACGTCCCTGATACAGAGCGATTAAGCTGGGCCCAAGCAATCGATGTGTGTTTTAATACAGCAAAATGTACACCCCTAGGCCCAAAGAATGAGGCCGAATTCACTCAGTGGGGGACTCTATCCTGGGAAGCAGTGACCAGCAAAAAGATTGGGAACGGCGCAGGGGGGAGGCGGATAGACGGACAAAAGGACTAATGGGATCCTGGGACGCTTAAACAGGGGAATCTCGGGTAGGAGCGGAGAGGTGATTTCACCTCTGTGTTTGGCACTGGTGCCAACGCTGCTTTAATCCTGGGTCCAGCTCTGGTGCCCACAATTCCAGGAGGAAGTTTATTGAAAAGGGTTCCAAGAAGAGCCATGAGATTGACGAATGGATTAGAAAACCTGCCTTGTAGGGATAGATTCAAGGAGCTCCATCTGTTTAGCTCAACAGAGAGACGGTTAGGGGGTAACTTGATTCCAGTCTAGAAGCATCTATGTGGGGAACTGATATTTAGTAACAGTAGGGTTACCGTTTGTCCGGATTCCCCCGGACATGTCCGGCTTTTTGAGTTAAAAATAGCGTCCGGGGGGAATTTGTAAATGTCCGGACTTCCCCCCCATGCAGAGTGCGCGCGGCTGACAGGGCAGCCGGCCGGATGGTGCCACTTACATGGGGCTCCGACAGCCAGAGAGAGCCCCTCCTCCGCTTCCCTCTCCTCTCCCCTGCAGCTGAGAGCACTCCCTCCCTCCCTGCATTTGCAGATTGCCGGCCGGCCGTTCTCATCGGGCCTCCGGCAGTCTGGAGCTCCTCCCCCTGCTCCTCCTCCCCTGCTGCCCAGCTGGTCTGAGCGGCAGGGTAAGGGGGCCAGGGGGTCGGAGAAGGGGCAGGGAGGTTCTGCAGGGGGCAGTCAAAAGACAGGGAGTGGGGGGGGGGG